ATAGACACCTGCGGTCCAGAGTTTTGCAAATATCTCAGCAACGTTGTGGTTGTATTTCGCTTAGTAACCTGCCATGAAAATTATAGAAGGCAGAAAACAAAACGTTAAACTCATCATTACCTTTAAGAAGTGATGACAGAAGCCTCACCTCGCTCCTACTAACACGAAGAATGTCGTGGCTGTTGGGAAGAATTTGTCGCTCATGGCTATGAAAGATGAAGGATGAAGCTCTCGGCATTGATCAGTCTCTAAGGGATGCGCTATGCATTCGAATTTGTTAAGCATCCTTTGGAAGTGACTGAATGCATATCTGGCCTTTACAACGACTCGCGGTGGCCTATCGATGTATGGAGCCAGCGCTGCTATCCTCCTAGACAAGTCTGGCACCAGTTTGCCTATCGCGGAGGGATGGAAGGCTTAGTGGGCCATGGGCGCGCGAATCGATTCCACGTATGTGTTGCTGGGCGCCTCCCACCACTGCGCCGCACGCGCCTCATAGCTATAATGAAATTTTAAAAGAACATCGCTTTCTTGGGTAATAAAGGTTCAGACCAGGTATCACCGCGACTACACCTTTCTCATCCACTCGATAAATGGAATATAAAGGTATAAGGCTGTTATCTAACAGCATAACATCGAATTTAGAAAGTCATAACGGAACATTTTCGACCAAGCAGCCATTCATTTGCGGAGCGTGTGAATACTGTGCTTGTCTAATGTGCTGAATGCTTCAGTATTCAGTGTGGTGTTTCCATTCTCATAGATGAGTTAAAGAAATCTTTCTCGGCATTGAAGACATATTTCATTCTAATTCTTTTATCTTAAATAAAAATGCTTTCTTCCTGTTGGATGGGGCCGGTAGCACAGTGGTAGTGATGTCCGTCACCACGAGCATGGTGCTAGCTCGATTCCGCTCCGGGCCGAGCAAGCTTCTTATCTCTCCGGGGTTGGGAAATTGGTACCGGACTTGTCTGGGAAAAATCACTGTGCAATCCAACTGGGAACCCTCCAGCCCGACTCTCTCAGGACTCCAGGGAGAATTGCTCGATCAGCATTCTATGACATTCAAGATGAAATGAAAATCCTCAAGCAGCAACCGAAGCTAAGCGTAAAAGTTAGAAAATGTTCGTGGACAATGGATGCGAGGAAACGAATCGAATGTGAGAAATGCTGGGATCCGCAGAACAGGCGTGAAGACAGGTCAAATAAAATAAAATAAATAATAATACCAATAATAATAATAATAATAATAATAATAATAATAAATTCTTCTTGTCGTACAAGTTGTCAAAAACATCGGCTAAGTAGTAATTTCTCGACATAAGTGCTGATATAATTCCCAATAATCTGTGTCCTTGTCCCACTGACCGTCATAGTTTAGTTTCTTTTAACCCACTTTTCAGTCAAGAACGATTCCTAGGCCACAGCAAAGTCATTGTTATTACCTGTTTACACAGTGAGTCGTACACAATATTTGTCCTAACCATCGAACCGATAGTGAAGACATATGAGTTAATGAAACTCAACGAAATCATCTGTATCGAATAAAATGACGGCTTTCTCACACAAAATCGAACTAAGATACTGATACATCTAAAGGAAAAAAATTGAAGAGTGGGATCTTCTAGAAGAGTACTGAGAACCACTAGAAAACAGCAATTCAATTTCCTTTTTAAACCGACAGTCATTTAACCTCAGCATTGATAGTTAATACATTCTTGGATTATTAAGCTAACATGAGGTTGATAAAGATGTTTATTCGACTAACGTTTCGACGTCTTCCTCTTCAGAGGATGTGGACCATCGACTCGGACTCTAAGGAAGAGGAAGACGTCGAAACGTTAGCCGAATAGACATCTTTATCACCTCATGTTAGCTAAATAATCCAAGAAGGTACCCAGGAAGAATTTGCACGCTCTCAACTGAGAAGGTACGTCATCAGAAGTAGATGCAGTGAAAATGAATTGAGAACTTCCTCGAACCACCACAGTTCCAGCAGATCCATTCCATCCATACAGCATCTGGAACTCCGAGTCACATATATGTAAATTGAAAAGCCAACTACTTTGCCAGACATTTCATGTGAATCCTCAATTCACAACGAGCATCTGCGCACAGTTTTCCCAACCTGGAATTGGAAACCCTATAGATCTTAATGGGAACAAGCCACCAATCCATGGTTAGCACGCTGTTTTTTCATAAATTAGACTCCTTTATAGCCATGTAGAATGTTTGAACAACAGACTAACTAGAGATAAATGAGTGACTATCTCTTTATTTCGAAAAGGAGACGTCTCAGTTCGATTATTAAAACGAATCCTTAACCACGTATTACTTCCTCGTGTTTATCCTAGAGTAAGACTTTGCTAAACATGTATTAAGCGGGTTTTAATGACGCTCTGATGAGATGGATTATGGAGACATGGGGAAGCCGTCTAGGCAGTCAGAGCGATGATTCCTCACTGATATGGCATTCAGTTCGAGGTAGTACTTTTAAGCGGTGGTCAGCAGAGATCTTTTTGCTAAGTTGGAATAGCATTACGAACGGATACGACGCGTAACGTGTACAGTTCAAGAGTTTACTCTACGCGAACTGGACACCAAATTGCGGATTCGTGGATTTCCGTCGGGATCAGCTTCTCGTTAGTGTGGTGGTGTGGGTGTGGTATATGCGTTTGGGGACATCCATCATCGCCGCATAGGACATCCCTTGGATTGCCATCATGCGCTTTTGGTAGCGTTGTGCGTCGAGCTATCGATTTTTGCCATCCAGTACACCACCACAATTGCCAGCTCCCCCGTCCCGTCGCTCGCTAAGCCCCGAACATGTCGCGGATTCGCTTCGATTCCAGTCCAGTTCTTGAAATCGTTTCGACTTCAATACTAATCTGTGTTCGCTTTGCGATTTTTACATGATGTGTTCTATTATTGTTAGTCGTTCGAAACGGACATGTTCTCGATCTCAGCCCTGGTCCGCTCTGCTGTACGCTGTACCCATTCATCAATTTCTCCGATCCCACACTACTTCAGCGAAGTGATCGTTTCATTTTTGACTCGTCCGACTTCGATTTGTTTGGCTATCACAACTAGTCATGAATACTTCCGAATATTGTTTTTGTCATTTGCCACTGGCGGACGACTGATTGTCCTTATCCTTGTGACCTCGGAAACCGGTTACTGGGCTTCGTGTGTACGGGTATGACTTCTGACACGATACCAACTCTTTTAACACTTACATTTCCGAAAGAGAAATCGCTCGATGCTTTACGACGGCCATACGATGACGTCTGATTCGATTATTTCGCAAGCATCGTTGCCGATTGCTGAGAGTTTGCTTTGTTCCAGAGTGTTCCATTCCGGCTTTCCAGTAATCCGAGCTCCCTTTCGTCGTTCATTTATCGCTAACCTTCTTGTGAAATAAATTTTCGAGTTACAGATTTGAGAGGTGACGTTGGTACATTACTTCGTTTGGACAACAACTGGTGTTCGTTCGACACCATGTCGCTGAAGCAGATCGTCGGAAACAGTGAGTGTGGCTAGGTATTTCTTAATTATTGCTACATATACAGATGTTTTTTCACTTCCTTGTTTGTTTTCTTCGTTATTGATTGATCTACTTCACAAAAATGTTGAACTTTCAAGTCAGTGTTAGGATGCAGAGCAACATTTTGGATAGTTCTTCTTTGAAATCCTCCAACATGCAGTTCACTAGAAGCTGTTGTGTTTGTGAATTATCCAGTAATTTAGAGCTTCTGAACGAGGTGATTCGTCCTCTGAAGAAACCCGAGGGAAAAGGATGGAATGCCCTGGTCGTCGACAGGTTGTCGATGCGAATGCTTTCGGCTTGTTGTAAGATGCATAACATCATGGAAGGTTAGTCATTCATTGTGTTATCACTTTGATTTGACATCATTCTGTAGGTTTTTATACCGATGCTTTAGATGGCATAACAATCGTCGAAGATTTAGCAAAACGAAGAGAACCTCTTCCGAGTCTAGAGGCGATATACCTTATCGCTCCCACAAAGGAGTCGGTGAGTTTCACAGTCCTAGCGATTTGATTTATCACTCTTTCATCTTTAAAGTTTAGATAGATCGCTTGATTGCCGATTATACAGTTCGTAATCAGTACAAGTGTGCCCATGTTTTCTTCACGGAGGCTTGTGCCGACACGTTATTCTCCGAGTTGTCTCGTAGTGCCGCTGCTCGACATATTAAGACGTTGAAGGAAATCAACATTGCCTTCACTCCATACGAAAGCCAGGTTTCTTTTGAAGAACATGTAGCGTTGTGAATTCAAGTAGTAACTTTTGCAAACTAAAGATATTTAGTTCGTCTTAGGTTTACACCTTGGACTCGCCTGATACGTACTTCCTATACTACAATGCACAAAAGCAGGGCGGCTTAACATACAATCTCGAACGTATAGCGGAACAACTGGCAACGGTATGCGCCACCCTCGGAGAGTATCCTTCGCTACGGTCGGTTTTCTTCCTCCGTCTTCCATCACACTTAAGTAAATAGCTCAGATTTCAGTTATCGAGCTGATTTTGAAAGAAACGTAGAGCTCGGTCATTTGGTGGAACAAAAATTGGATGCTTATAAAGCTGACGATCCGACAATGGGTGAAGGCGCCGACAAAGCTCGTAGTCAGCTTCTCATCATCGGTATGTTGAGTTTTGGTTTTCATATCCAGCCGCCCATGTTTGATTTTATAGATCGAGGCTTCGATGGTGTAACTCCACTTCTTCACGAGTTGACCTTACAAGCAATGTGCTATGATTTGCTTGGTATTGAGAATGATGTTTATCGCTATGAAACAGGCGGAAATGATAGCGTCGAGAAAGAGGTATTATTTTTTTGTTCAAATTTACATCGTGCTACAAGAACTAACTTTCTAAATGGGCTAGTCTTAGGTACTTCTGGACGAAAACGACGACCTGTGGGTTGATACTCGTCATAAACACATCGCTATTGTTTCCCAAGAGGTCAGCCTCATTTGTGGCACTTTAAAATGTACTGCCATCTCTAATTTATGTTTTAGGTTACCAAAGGACTAAAGAAGTTCAGTGATACTAAGGCGGGCTTCAAAGCAGATGCAAAGTCTATCAAGGACTTGTCAATGATGATTAAGAAGATGCCTCAGCATCAGAAGGAGCTGAATAAGTTTAGGCAGGTCATTCTTTAGTACAAATAACTGTCGATTGTGTGCATGTTCAACATGCTGCACAACTTATTCCTCATGTTTAGCACTCATTTCCACTTGGCAGAGGAATGTATGCGCCAATATCAAAGTGGTATCGACAAACTTTGCAAAGTTGAACAGGTCAGTTACTTTACTTCTTGTGTAGCTGTTAGGAATATTATATACAAGGAGTTTCAAATTTCCAGGACCTTGCTACCCAAGTGGATGCTGACGGTGAACGCGTACGTGATCCTATGAAATTGATGGTGCCGTTATTAATTGATCCTGTTGTAAAAACGGAAGATAGGCTGAGGCTTATTCTTTTATATATCCTCAGTAAGAATGGTGAGTATACAAAGACTAGGTGAACGGTTTGCAAGGTGAATATTTAAGCAAATATTTTAGGGATTACTGACGAAAATTTGAATAAATTACTTCAACATGCTAACATCGCCATGGCTGAGAAGGAAACTATCACTAATGCATCATTTCTGGGCTTGAACATCACAATCGATGTATGTGACTCCTTACTTCCCTTTATGCACTTTGAATTAGCGACTTCAGTATTAGTATATGAGAATAGTAGCTCAGTAATTAGTTCTTATGTTACTGCTGAAGGAGCACGAAACTATGATTTAGGCTTAGACCTACCTTAATTGCTGAAAGTGAATGTAAGGTATGTTTAACACATTCGAAACCATATAAGTGGGTCTTGACATAAGGTGTCTACGAACTGTTGCTTGTTCAAACGAGCCTGTTCGAGCTCCTTCTTAACTTGTTAGAAACTGTTAGGGTTCCCCGATCCTTCCTAAGTAACTGCATGTTCTCATATCCTGCGAATACGATACTCTGGTTTTCTGGAGCACAGAAGACGTATCTGTTCGATTTTTTTCCCGTTGAAGCTCGGATCTCCAAAAGCAGTCTGATTTTGTAAGCGGCTGTGCGCTGAGGAACAATTTCGTTCCGCTGTGAATTTTTGATATTTGTGTCCGAAAATTATGTTGCATTCGTGATCGTATGGGTTTACTCGCAATTATTGGTAAGTGTTTGATAACTGGAGCACTTGAGGAGTTCAGGACTTGATGCGCTGATAGCGTAGGCTTTGCGCCATACCTCCCAATGCATAAATAATCTAACCGGAATTTGATGAGATTGTTTGGAATCTGAATTCAAAAAAAGACGAGAACAACGCTTGTTCCTTTATAATTTGCAGCAAGGCCGTAAGAAGGTATGGACACTAGCGCGAAAGGAGCGGCCAAATGAACAAGTATACCAGTCCTCACGTTGGGTTCCGGTGCTGAAGGATATCATGGAGGATGCAATTGATGATAAACTTGACACCAAACACTTCCCATTTCTAGCGGGACGTCAAATCAACCAACCGTTTAGGTGAGATTTTACTTAGTGCTGTTAACACCATTAAGGTTCCGGAGTCTTAACATTCCAAATCCATGTAACTTTTTATTCATGTAGTCCATTATTTCAACGTATTAGTAATAAAACTTTAAGAGCCCCAACCTCGGCGCGTTACGGGCAGTGGCATAAGGAACGTGGGCAGCAAGCTCAGTATCGCAGTGGTCCGCGTTTGATTGTGTTTGTTATTGGAGGATTAACATACTCGGAGATGAGAGCGGCTTATGAGGTGACCCAGGCGAAGAAACCGTGGGAGGTTATCATAGGTTCGTTGAGGAAATAGGTTTTATACGGACGTTGCCTCATGTTAACGAGTTTATTCTACAGGTTCCGACCAAATCATTACTCCTGAGAAATTCCTGGCAAATCTCCGCGACTTGAATAAGCCGAGAGAACAATGACATGCGGCCGGGCACAGGGTCGAATTCGTTTTAGACGAAGTGACGCCTTCACTAACGAGTGTAATAACGATTTAGCGTTGCTACAGCGTTTATGAAGAAAGGGATCAGTTCAGAATTGAACGACTCTGTAGTCCGTGTTCGATTAGCCGCTGTTTAGACCGATGTATCCGATGACAATGTGGAGCAATATGTATAGTCGTAATTGTAATAATTTGTCGCTTGTTAGATATGACATTCCGGTTTAATGGACCTCGTCTGGTCATATTTATTTATTACGTGAAAGAGATATGTAAACTGACGAAAGTATTATCTCTGGTCTTTTCAGTAATTACTCATTCCTTTTAAAATTGTATCCATAGGGTAAGCCTATACATTGCGTATAAAACTTCTTTCTCGTTCTGACTGTAGCCAGTTACGATGCTGTTGTGTAACATTATTACTAATAGGCGAGAACTTACCAGAAGGCACTGGAGCACAGTGTCCGATGGTATAAAGGTTTGGTTCTGCTGATTCGTTGAGGCAGAAGGCGGGAAAGAGGACAACTACGCGCCTTCAGTTGTGTTGCAAATTCTCTTGAGTACCCATTTTGAAGTTTCAGCAAAGGATTGCTGTGATGTTAGCACAGTGTAGAGTGTGAGACGTTCTCAATTATTCTGATTGCGACAATTGCAACAACTGGTTATCAGGAGATGAATTAATTTTGGCTCTTAAATACAGCCTGCCAACGGTTTACTGCCTCATTGTGGCTAAGAAGTGTTCATAGGTGTCGGGCTGTTATGTACAACGACGGAATCATCCCCAGCGCGGTCTCCCAAGCTGAGAAAGAGTCAGACGTTTCCATCAAGAAGGCCAGGTAAGAGGAAGCAGTTATCATGTATAATACATTCTGAGAACTGTCACATTTGTTTCGTATCATTTAACATCCCCGTGATGATTGTTAAGGAGTACGAGGAATACTGACCCAGACATAGGTACATACGAACAAACCAAAAACAAAACCTTCAGAACACTGTAAAGTATATTACTTGGATACTTGGATGGCCCGTCCCCACTGGCTGTGTTGACCCTAGCGTCATCTCCATTTTTCGGAGTTCTGCTGGTTTATTGTGGTTCCTTGAAGTCTTGAGGTCAGCCTAGCCAAAATTCACTCCAGGTCGCCAGGTCGCCACCGCCACAGGCAGCCGCCACTATTATAGATCAGGGGGAAATGTGCCAGCATGAGACTAGTTTGATACCAGGACAGTGGTCCATCCTGGTATCGGTTTACCCTTAGCTGGGCTTCCTCATGGAAATGCCGGACTCGTTCTCAGCCTGGGAGATCGTGCTGTGGGGACGAACCTCGCGTACATCGCCAGCCCCACACCCAGGAACCAGGAACATCTCCCAGCCGCGCTGGGGCGGCAAACCGTCGAGAAGGTCAAATGCGTTACGACAATTAAACATCGATTACCGAATGGCCTCACTAGACCATTCCCAAAACACGACTTCATTGGTTGTTTTAACGTCCTTATTTATAGCCCTAAGATCATACGATGTAGAAGTGAAGAAAAATAAACGAAGAAGAAAACAGTAGATGAAATGGACAAATGTGCTCATCCCTGCCTCTAGCTCCTCTGAATTTCACATAACTTCGTCTCGAAAGAAGAAAAAAAGCGGGATGTCTTGTAGTTTTAGGCTACGTTTAAACCTAATAAGTAACCGGAATCCTGCAGCTTTTGTTCAAAATTCTCTACTTCTGTTATTGCAAAACCTATCATCGCTTCATGTATTTGCAGCTAGCATGCTCCAACGACAATACTGGTCCTATAGCGGATTCGGCCTTTAAGCTACCGTCCTAAAAGTTGGCCAACATCGCGTTTCGTTGCCGTCGTTGTTCCTAAAGTTGTCGAGTTTTTTTCTGGATCGTTCTCTTAATACCTGTCGATTAAGTGTAATGTTGTGGCCTATGTAATCGTGTTAAGCTGCTTGGTTTCAGTTTTTAGCCTTGCGGGTTCTGATCAAGGGGTGCTAATTTGGGTCATGAAGTTTATCCTAAGCTATGGCTTACCACATTAGAGATACTTGTTGGAATTGTGCCTTAATTCCCTAACAACCAATATCGTGTAGAGCACTTTCAGTGAACTGTCGGCTCAGCTATGGCGAAAATTCGAGCTCGCGATCTCCGCAACCAAAAGAAGGACGATCTCGTCAAGATGCTTGTCGAGCAGAAGACTGAGCTCGCTTCACTCCGGGTATGCTAGTTATTGCTTCTAGTATAAGTTTTGTGTATCCTAGCACTTGTTTTATTCGATTCTCGTTTTCTCACAATAGTCATCCACGATTATCCTAGGATTTTAAGTTTGGGTTTGTTTACTGACTAAGGATTTTCGCTCTTCATGAGGGAATCCATCGAATGTTCTTCGAGTTCATTCTCCCTTAAATCCTAGGATAGCACTGGTAGGGCGTTCTCAGGCCATCACCACAGGTGTATGCTAAATACTGTTCATTGCTCCGTTTAGCTCCCTTGCGCGTAGTGTGATTGATCACTTTGGTCGTCATAGAGCTTTATCAAAGTTTCTCAATGCTGGCAGCCTCTGTACCTTTGTTGACCTATGGTGTATTGCTGAATGTGTTTCAGCGTTTTGGTTATCTAATCTCATGTGAATGCTTTTAGGTTTCTAAGGTCACTGGTGGTGCCGTTGCTAAACTCTGTAAAATTCGTGTAGTCCGTAAGGCGATAGCTCGTATCCTCACTGTTATTAACCAGAACTACAAGCAAGAACTTCGAAAGTACTACGCTGTGAGTTTCTTATCCCTAATGTTTTGTTTCAGTCGACATCGCTTGTTTCATCTACGATTTAGCAGAATATTTACACATGACTTCATGTTTCTCGTTATGAAACGAGCAAGCCGAAATGGGAAAGCTTTTTTGTGCACATATTTCCAGCACAGTTATTCACTGCAGACTGGTCTCATTAGTTCATATGCTGAGGGTTTTCATGTCATAACTGTTTGGATGTAAGTGTTTGTGTAAGGTCTCCATTCTTTACTATTCAGGGTCGCAAGTATAAGCCAATCGATTTGCGCAAGAAACAGACCCGAGCCATCAGAAGGCGATTGACGAAACACGAGCAGAGTTTGAAGACTGCTAAGCAGTTGCACAAGCAGCGTGCTTTCCCAATGAGGAAATTCGCTGTCAAAGTATGATTTGCGTGTTATGTTGTTCCTTAGTAAACCATAATTAAAAGCAATGAAGAAGCGGTGTTCAGCGTGTTAACTCTTTTAATATTCATTTGGTTAAGAGGAGGAAGCTCATGTCTCTGTTGTTTATGTAATAAATGTGGATCGTTGTTTGGGGCTAGGATAATTGAAGGATGTAAATTTTTTACAGCTTTTCTTATTAAGGTTGTACCTGTTGTCACTTTCAAGGTCGTGTTTCCTTTTTAGTAAGAATGACAAATGATACTTCAAAAATGTTTTATTCTGAACAAGGAGGAAGTCGTCAAGGTCTTATGTAGGGATAACACATTGTTATGTAGAGTTTTACTATGGCTGACGTTCCGACATCTTCGTATCCTTTTGAGCTGCGATGGCTCTAGTCCGTTATCCACAGCACTTCATTCTTGAATGGATCAGCATTTGCGAAGGAGAGGTTGTCGAATAGGTAGCCGTGATGAACCCTGGTGTAAAACATAAGCTTATCGGTTTAAGGAGAGGTAGGTTATTCATTTCAAAGTATTTTACTTTGTTTTATATTTACGTATACTTGTTTTGGTTTTTAGAAAAAGCATTGACATCTCGATGATCATTTGTGTGAAATACATGTATGTGCGTTTGTTGGTATACTTGATACTTGGTGCTTGAGGGACCCGTCCTCACTGGTTGAGCAGGCCCCAGCTTATTCTCCATTTTTCGGAGACTTGCTGGTTAAGCCATTACGATTCTCTGGAATCCCGAGGACAGCCTGGCCATGGTCTGCTCCAGGTCGTCACCGCGACAGGCAGTCGCAGCTCTTGTGGATTAGAGGGTGATTTGCCACCATGCGACTTTGTCACCAGGGCGGTGGTGGATCTTGGTATTGGTTTACTCATAGCTAGACTTCCTAATGGAATCGCCGAACTCCTTCTCAGCTTAGGAGACCCTGCCAGTGGATGGATTTAACGCGATACGTTGTAGTCCGATACCTAGGGACACCTCCAAGCCACGTTGGTATAGTGACTGGAAAGGTCCATGCGTTATATATTATCTTGGATGTCCTGTGTTTTTCCTGCATCTTCTGACCGTCGATACCACGGATTCCTTTAATTCAAATGGATTGTTTGCAAGTAGTAAAAGGACTCGTGCAATACTTCAGTAAGTGTTATTGTTTGTGCATCTATATTATGGGATCATGGTGTTAACACTATGGGCTTTATTATTCTACTTCTGTAGGGTAAGCGTAGCATTTTTTAAACCAACTTTTGGGCAGACAATTCCCGGTTTGCATAGAATTGTTGGATTTCTAATCACTGGCTAAGACATATTTCCATTAACAATTGCAGCATCTAGCTAGCGATACAACCGCAGTAGTGCTGAGATATGTGCAAAACTATGCGCCGCAGGGTGTCTGCGGTCGGGAACGAACGCGCTACTATTATTTATGGAGACTAACGCGTTCACCACCACACCATGCGTGCCGTTCGATTTACGTTTCTGTCAGATAGTTTCCTATCTACCAGAGCCATCATGACGGTGTACGCGTTAGCCTCCAGAAAGGATAATAGCGCGTTCTTTTCCCACCGCAGACACCTGCGGTCCGGACTTTCGCTATGAAACTCAACACCATTGTGGTTGTATCACACAATAGTACCCTGCCGTCAAAAATCGCAATGTACAATGAATAAAAAACTAACATCTAGCGAGTACAAATCCATTCCACTTGAGTTTCTATGTCAAGTTCTTCCTATAGGTTCTCATTCGCGATCTAGTTAAAGATATCTATTCTGACGTTCAAGGTGGCATCCATGGTAGGTGTAGTTTGATACAAATATATTGCATTCCACATAGAATCTTTAAAAGTAAATCTTGAGGTAGACCTAAGGAAGGTGAGCAGGAGTAATGTGAAGAGTGTGATCCAGTATATCCAATATGAAGGGGTTGAAGTTGCTTGTCTAGCACATTCACAAGGTGATGTAAAAAATTCTGACGTTTGTCGACTGATTCGCGTCACATGTGAGAATTAGTCAATAACAATTATAAGGTTCGGTTGTTGGCTGTCCTTAACGGTGTAGAGTAGAAGTAACAGTTGATGTAAAGAGCAAATAGGTATGTTTGTTGTCGAAAGCATCGCGGGTACATATTCCACTGATGGAACTGCTGAGCTTTTACCACAATTTGAATCTATCTCTTAATGAAAGCGTGGTTCTAAAATAGCTCAATCTGTCTCGTTCCACAAGTTCAGTGTCAAACTTCAGTGTTCCGACAGAGAAAAGCCAGCTCTGGAATTACGACTAATCAGCTGAGGACACTACGCTGCTGGACAGATGGTGGGAAAGTTTTGATGCACAGAGAGCGGCGACCCCCTCCGTAGTGAACACATGGGAACGCTCTCGTGAACTGTCTTGAGGTTCCAGGGAGAATTTCAACTTATTACTTTCCGCCCACTCCTTTTTTAATGGCAGAATATATTGCGAAATATAACTTCAGTGATACTGAGATATTTTCAAAACTCCGGACCGCAGGTGTATGCGGTAGGTAACGAACGCGCTATTGTCTTTTCCGAGGAGTAACGCGTTCACCACCACACCATGCGTGTCCTTCGTTTCGCCTGTCTCTCAGCATCATTGAAGCTATATTTCGCAATATACCTTGCCATTAAAAATGGTGTGGGCGGAAAGTAATAAGTTGAAATTGTGATTATAACTACGGCCTCAGCTTAACTGGGTTCGTTGCCGATTTGGGCCTCCCAGATCAATCCCGCTGACGGGTGATTGCTGTGGCAAAGATCGATAGAACTAGTTGAGAGACACGCGAATCGAAGGATCCGCATGGTGTGTGTGGTGAACACGTTACTCCCCGGAAAAGACAATAGCGCGTTCGTTCCCCATCGCATGCACCTGCGGTTCGGAGTTTTGCAAATATCTCAGCATCATTGAAGTTCCAGGGAGAATCAACTCGACTGGCGTTTGACGACAGTTATGCAGAAGACAAAATCCTCAGTTGCGGCAACTGAACTTACTTGCAGAACCGAGCAACTTTGTAGATGCCAAGTGCGTGAGAACGAATCGAATGAAAGAAGTATTTGGATCAGCACAACATGTGGAGCTCGCTCATATTAATATCAGCAGCTATTGCTGTTGTTATTCTTAAAATCTTACGGCCAACTGTAAAAGATCATAGGGAGATAAAACTGTAATGAACATCTATTTCTTTATACAGGGCGACGATTCAGTAACTGCTGTGATATAGGAGCTAAATTATATTTTATTCCTGTTCTTCCTCTTCGTCTTCCTCTTCTTCCTCTTCTTCCTCTTCGTCCTCTTCTTCCTCTTCTTCTTCTTCCGCTTCCTCGTCCTAAATTCAGAGATAGGTTTTTTTTCTTTTTTTGGTGGCTCACGTTATCGTTACTGTTGTCTTAATTAAGAGCACCTTTGTCGTTATTCTCAATAAATTCTTAATTTGAAAAAATTTAAATTATACGACATTACTTTGCTGGCTTAATTATGTTTTTTTTTTTCATACCTCTCTCTCTTTCTCTGCATCTTCTTCCTCCAGCTTACCATTCTCGTGGGCCTAAAATGATTAGAAACAATTTGGCTTCTCGTGCCACTATCTCAGGCAGTGTTAGTTTTCAATCCGTATATGAAGCAGTGAAAACGGTATTTTAAGGCTCTCTATACCACGTGCTCGTCGTCTTCCACGTCCTGGTCTTCGTCCATCGTTCCGCTTGCTTTTACCGATTGATTGTCAATCTCTGATTGACGCGATGACTAAAGTATGTCTACTCATTGCAAACATTTGCCAAGAAAAAAACTTTTAAAAAGTAAGGACGATAGCTTGTTTCTTGCGAAATCATAAGAGCAAATGATTTTACTTTCAGCTTATCGATTTATGCATCAGAAATTCATATTTCAAGTACTTCTCGCTCAGATATCTATTGTTAAGCCAACTCAGTGGTTAAATTTTACTCGGGTGTGTCTTTTCTTACAGCGTAAGTGGCTAGATAGCTTCTGTTCCTTTCGTTTTTAATAAAATAGAATGTTAACATTTTATTCAGTGCCTGTTGTTATTTTTCACGGCAGGGTATGATATGAAATGCAGCCACTACTGTACTGAGATATTTCCAAAACTTAGACACCAAGCCAGATCTAACCCTCGAATACACTTTCCGGGAGCTCACGTGTTATCCACTGCACCTAGAAGCTAAAATGTATTCCGACATTTAGATTGTTGGCCATGTTCATCCGTCTGTAATTTTGCTAAATCGCACGCAGCTCCCTTAATATTTCACGTTTTTGAATCTCTTTTACTTTCTGTCGGCGAAAGAACGACTGTCAGCTTTCGTTTAAGAACGAACATAAGCTAAGCAATTTTTACCAGCAGTTTTCCTGGAATCCACGGAAAATTGGCCCGTACCTCTCTTTCTTCGAACTTCTTCTTATAATGTCCGAATGGATCAGCGCTAGATGCACTGCCAGGTGGCTTAGATTCTTCCCACTCTTTGAGCGCCGCTTCATATTCTTCGATCCTGAAATTGTTCATATTTAGAGAATTTGTAGAGTAGACGGCAGCGCTTTACAGTGTGATGCTATATCTTAACACGCTTAAGTTTATCCCTAAACCCTTTATCTTTCTTTTTTCAAGGACCATCATACTACATTGATTGACATTTCGTATCAAAATTACTGCCAGAGTATCCTCTTGAGTGGTAATGGAGATGTTATTGACTGGTACGAATTTCACCAATGCACTAGTTTATAATCGATCAATGTTGCGGATAATTTGTTGTCAAACGTTCTGGTCGTTGAAACCAGCTTTTGGCTCGGTATGCTCTCTTATCGCAGGACATGCTCTGTTTGTTATTTCTGCGTTCTCTGGAGATCGCACAAGACTTTTAATCCCTACTAACATTCGAGGATACGCAAACACTTATAGCGCGACGCGCGTTATTTCTCATCGGCATTTGACGTCGTCGAAATGAGGAGAGCTGTGAGCACTAAAAAATTTGGCAAAACGATCGTCGTTTATTGATTAGCTATGATGAAGTGGAAATCAGGCTTTGTAAATGTGAATTTTATATAGTGTACCGTACCATTCTTTCTTCCATCCGCTCTTCTGGATGGTGTTTCGTGGTGTTCCAAATCCAGTCATTCCTCTCTAGAACTCCTAGTTTACTCCTGGTTTCAAATCACTTTGTATACTTATTATTGCAGAGCGAATATCCTTCGTTTCTATGAAAAAGAAGATTACCTGAGATGCCAGCTTGTTCGTTCCCGACTGAAGTGGGACGATTCCTTCGGATTTCTGCCTAAGGCTTTCTTCAATATCTTTGCCACCCTACAAATATTCATTTTTAAGTGCTTCTAGCATATTTAACGCTTATATTGTGTTCATGAAATCACGTGCCACTGTATGAGGAATGACGTCTCGGACTTTGAGGAATCCACCACTGCCCGCCTGCGTAGCGAACTTGTTCTGCCCGGAATACCACGGTGTATATTCGGTTCCACGACGTTGCTGATCTTCGCTAGACATCATAACTTCTTTCAGTACTTTTCATTGGTATACTGAAACCGAAATGGCCGGCATACTTCATGTCGAGCCCTTCAATTCGTTGAGTAGCTTGTCGAACAGCACCAATTCCAGGTGGAGCGGACATTCCCGTCTGTGACGCAAAAATGTTTGTTCCTGAAATTTGTGAGTGTAGTGAGAGATCATGCGTGACCTAGCGATTTAAACTGCAAGCGTCAACTATCGTGGTACCGTTTTGGAAAACAAGAACGCCATGAGTGCGACGATCATGAGGAAGACGTCCACGTACGTTAGGTACCTGATTACGATGGGCTCCCATTGAAACCTAAAACACTGATGTACTTTCTTTTGTAAGCCTTGACTCGTAAATGCTCTTACCTCTCCAGCTTGAGTTGCCAGACCGTAGTCTCCAGCCTGTTTCGGAATGATCTTCTCGCCTTCCTTGTCTAGGATCGTCTCCCAGTCTTTTTTATAGGTGACTCTTGGCACCTATTAAGGTATGGAGCCAAACTAATTATTTGTCCAAAAACCAGCTTGTTTATTACATGGATTTTTTTTGTTGATCTTTTATGTACCTGGAAACGGCTGGCTCCCATTGGAGTCTCGCCTTTTTGAGACGCATATTGGTTCGTACCGCATTGAACTCGAAGTATATTTTCTGAGCGGCGGTCTGGTTCGATGTATCTGAAAAATAATAGAAGTTCTTTTTTATGGAAATATAGTTTCTCAAATTAACACGCTGACCCTAGCTGCTTATCACGAACGATGTTCCAACGAGGCATTCCAGGAGCAGTCATACCACACTGGGAGTCGAACTTGTTGGTAGCAGCTTGCATTGAGAGAAACGTGTTGCCACATTTCAGTTGTTCCAACGTCCATCTTTTGCGAGATCGGCTCTCGTCGTCACGATAATCCTGAAAATTGAAAGGAGACATTAATTCACTTGCGGCTTTATTCTTCCTAATGGGGACTTTACTTGCAAATTGCAAACTTTTTCGATGAGTGGTAGATTGACGTGATCGCTGAACAAACATTTATTCACGGATTTCGTCACACCGGGAAAAATGTTTTAAAGTGAAAGACCATCACTTCTGTCGAGCTCAAGAATTCGTAGCTTAGTTTAGAGCATCTGTTTGCGTTCATTCTTAATAATTACACTAATAATAACAACAATATTAGTTCTCCCCACTCTAATGATCTACTGCCTCATTGTGGCTATGGATATTCTTGGACATCGAAGAGCTGTGTGGAGCTTGGGTTCATTCTAGTGCAGGGTTTGAAAACTGAGCAGTCCAAGCCAGAATCTCAACAAAGATTAAACCAATGTCACTGGATTTAGTTGAGCTACCTATGACCGCCTTCTCGTCAAGCAAAGGTGATATAAAGTCGTTTGTACGTAAACTGCGATCTCTTTTCCTGCCACTAGCAAATGGAGTCCTCTGAGGAGCAGTGCGTGATGTGGTCAAATAATGCCACTATTGGTGTCTGCTCGAGTCATTCGCTCACTAACGGGATTGCAGACGAATAGTGGCAATAAATGAAGCTTTTTTCTTGAAGAATATTTGAGGTCGTCTTTTTGCATTAAGAACAGAGCGTTCGTAAACGTCTGTTTCACAAGGCTTTTTGCTTAACTTTTTTGAGTCAACCTCTTTGCGATATATCTATAAAACACAGTAAAAGACCATTACTGGATAACACATACCTCTTCTCCCATGGTGGTAGTCGTGTGAGTTGTAGACTGAATGTGAGCGCCTTGAGAGAGCCGGCGAAAACTGCATCCCGCCTCCACTTGAGACTTGTGGATTTCCGCCTACCTGTTGATTCTTGTGTTACCTTGTCCGAAGCACTTCATAAAAGGTTTAAAATGTCGTCATTATATTTATCGTTGTCTAAAGTTGTTTATAATTTAGACGTATAGGTGAAAGTAATCCTATAGAAATTGACTAAAATCAATATGGTTTCATTTAATGAAAACAAGCAACCTTTTGAGATGAAATATGGGAAAACTACCGGGAAATCGTGAATTAAGGAGGAAGTAGCACCGATGTTATTAAGAATTTATATGACACAGTTCAAATCCATTAGGGCATGATCTCATCCTATGTAAGGTGTATGTGGTGGAATGGTGAACTCAAGAATGATCAGTGAATGGGAAATCTCGAAGGGAAGGTATGAGATGAACAAAAATTTTCGAGTTACAAGCATGTGGAATGCTCGTATAATTGTGGTAAAGTTGTAAAATTCACAGTAGTAATCAAAGCAAATTGTAATAAGATAACTGTAGAATAGCTTCTTTTATTACATATTCTTCGTTAACTTTTGCCATTAGAATGATACTGGTTCATGTAGCTTCATAAGTAATTAACTGCAAAATATGTGAGGGCAGTTTCCAAGACCGGCTTTCTATTTACCTGGGCACTGATATATTATAATTCGTTGTTTTCTTGATATAGGGTAGACTTTGCCCAGGCTGTCCTCGGGACTTCAAGGAACCACGATGGCTAAACCAGCAAATCTCCGGAGAACGGAAATTATGCTGGGGCTCCCACAGCCAATGAAGACGTAGCTTCCAAGTGTCCAAGCATTTTCTTGATAAGCACGCACGAGTTTGTTACTATGTTCTTCGAATTTCTTGTTGAACATGAAGGAAGAATAAATATGCATGGCTTGTCCATCCAGCAGCTAATGGCTCTCTTAAAGGAGTGCCTAAACTGCTCGATTTTCAGATGCTCTGGGAAATATTTCGCGCAAATAAGAGGGTTGGCAATGGGACAGCGATTGGCACCAAGCCTTGCCATTGTGTTTATGTCTAAGATAGAAGCCCCTGTTCTCGATCTCAGGTCACTTCTCTACTGCAGATATGTGGATGATTGTTTTGTCGTCTTCTCTACGCAAGAGGAGATGGACAAATGCTTTGAATTACTGAACGAGCAGTCCGAGTACATAAAGTTCACCCGGAAGAAACCGAGAAAAAACTGGCTTCCGTTTTTGGACGTTCAAATAAACCTATCAAGTAGCGGTTACCTGATAAAGTGGTATCGAAAGCCAAGTAACAAGAACATTCTTGTTCATTTCCTTTCTTCCCACCCTTCACACACAAAGAGGGCGATTGTGAGAAACATGTTTCGAACAGCCACCTCTGTGTGCACTACAAGGGAACTAAAGGAAGAATCGCACGACTTGGCTCGGTAAACAGCCATCTCCAATGGCTACGAAATAGTAACCCCACGAGATAAGTTTACAAGGAGAACGGCGCGCCCACGCGAAACACTCGGCCAAAAGAAAGTCCCATTTATGTTGCCTTTTATAAGCGATGAAGTAAGCGTAGCTATAAAACGATGCTTAAGAAGGGCAGGTCTAGAGGAATCGGTGGCGATAGTTGAAATACCACCGGCTACTCTACGTCGTCAATTAGTTCGTAACCGCTTGTATGGCCGTCTATGTGAAACAACAAACTGCGTAATTTGCCCTTACGGCAGGGACGGTGATTGCATGAGTTCAGGTACGATATACCTGATCTCTTGCAATAATTGCGGAGATGAATATATTGGCGAAACGGGCAGACCTTTGTGTATCCGTATGAAAGAACACCTAAATGGCAAACGAAAACTAAGACGAAGCACCCCACTAGGCACGCATAGGATACAAAAGCATAGCGGAGACGATTTTGAAGTAAAAGTCAATATCCTTGCACAGGAGTCCAAAACACCGGCGCGACAACTCCTTGAGGCTTTTTGGATGAATGCCAAAAACCCTACAATGAATAGCAGGGATGAATGCCTGGAGGTCATACGCGACCTGATCCCGTACGTTCGCATCGATTTTTGATGTGGGATGGTGCAGTCGTTAACCACATGCGACTATAATCAGCTGTTCTAAACTTCCTCATTGGAAGTCACGAAAAACCGGTGGGTTTTTCGAGAAGCTGTTGATCATGTAATTACCAAAGAGTCTTTGTGTGCTATTGAAGCATTTGGCCTAGTAGATTGTATATCAGTATACCCTTCCAGGCTCTGAAGAAGGCGATACTGCCGAAACGTCAGCTGGCGTTGTATTGTATTGTGTTTCTCTATGGAAGTAAATGTATGCTGTTTAAAGACCTTGCGAATGCTGAACAAGAAAACGACACATTCATATTCCAATGCCGAGGTTAATAGAAAGTCGATCCTGGGAACTACTATGCTCTTAATTCACAAAAGCTAACATTTCGGGGGTTTAGCTCTCTTCAGTTCTGCTAGGAATTTCAGAATTTTGGAGAGTATTCCTTCCATCCAACGTTTGTTCTGTATTCTTCTTAATTCGACTGAGTCATACAGTGCTTGCGTTGCATGTTCGTTTTTTTTTTGAAGTAAAAGAGCGGGTGCGCTTATTTTTTACACGATGGACCGGTTATATAATTCAAGAGTTGCCCTCTTCAATACACGCTCTCCTCCCACCTTAGTGACATGACAGCAAACGTTTACTGATGAGGTCTACGGTATCTTTGAGATAATGTCATCGACTTTCTATAGGCCAAGACAATGTCGTGATTGGTGATCGGACTATTCTATGATGACTGTGTTCGTAGCAATACCTATCCACTTCCTGTACCTTTTATATATTCATTTTTCACGCTTCTAAACTGGGCAAGAAGGCAATGGATAGGAGTAACTTTATCAGAAAATTTTTTTCGATTTTAACTCTCCAAGTATATATTGCACTGCCCACCAACTGCTTGCTCTACGTATTGTGAAGTTGGAGGCTAATCACCCCGTACTTCGAAATTCAAGAGTGCGCTATTCTTCTAACACAAATCCATAGCGGGTTTATGTTTTTACAAGGCAGAATTTTGCTTGAAGCACCAGTATATTATTATACAATTCATATGCAGAACTGTAGAATACTGTTTCTTGGAAAGCATATGGTCTTAACGTTGCTTCTTCGCCGTTTTTAATATAAACGACGAAAGGTGAGTTTAATAATAGATTTGTATCATCATTCTTAAGTTGTTTACTGCCTTGTTATGGCTTGGAAGGGAATGTTTTTGTGTGTGGAACCGCCATATGTAGTGATGGTTAACCTCAATGTGGTCTTCCAAGCTTAGAATAGGTTCGACATTCTGATCTGAAAGTTTAGCAAATAATAAGCCTATGCTACCGCACAATCATGCACGAGATTTCCGTGTTTACTTTGTCGCTAGGATCACTGAGAAAGAGAGTATCGTGCCAGAACTTTGATACTATTCGTGTCGCTTATGCAAGTTTAGTACGCGGCGGTGACAAATGGAGTGCACTGGTGTCCTTTCGACCTACTGCTAAATAACGGCACCAGAAGTGATAGAGGTTGTCATCATTTTTGACAGTTTGTTGCATATTGAGTATTTTCTGTGTTAACCATAGTATAAACTTGATTTTTGAGTGAGCAAGACAGCGAAAGCTTAGTGGTTTCCATAGTATGCTATTTGTTGGAGAATTCAACTTCATTTCTCCTTGTTTAGTGCTAAAACTTGACTCGTGCAAAACGTTTCTGTTAGGAATCCAATGTTTATGTTTGTAGTTTTTGAAAGTTTTTTCTCATTTAAATTAATTAAGATCGCTCTTTATTCATGTTCCAGTTCAACTCTGGAAACACTGAAATGGAGGGGATGTGATTCTTCTTGGCTTTTCACCTCCAGCCCAATCCATTGCGTAAAAATTTCACATGTTTCGAGTGGATGAGAAGAAAATTGCTTTTTTTTGATTTTAATGGACTTTATCTTTCAAAAGTTTTTCTTATACAACAAGGTGCCGGAAGTGTCGAAATGGAAAACAGATGTAGGTACAAAAAATTTTCAATAGGAACAATTTTTCATTCAACAAAATAATTTAGGCAACTTCTATCATAAAGCGGAATATGAGAATTTTTGAAAAAGTATGTAAAATAATTATTTGTACACAAAGAGAAAGTTTTTAAATCAGCATATCCGTTTGCAAATACACTTGGCAAAGCTAAGTGATTTCTGAACATTCCAAATAAATATTGTTGTAGGAATTCCTCCTAGTGGCTCTCCATTGACGGAAATGGGTAGATGCTTGCTTGTCCACCACCTTTGCTTAGATCATCAGCGGTGATTTCTTGTTCATTATGCGTTCTTCGTAATCCCCTTCTTGGGTTAATTCTATCGTTTTTGGCATCTTGTTTCACTGGACTCCGAAGAACATAGCTGAAACGGTGCTTTTCAAGTATCCATATTTTGTATTTCGTTATAATTCGTGACAGATTAGAATTAAACGCTGTTTCTGGGGAACGTACATGATATCACCAGCCTCGAGTTGCAAGTCAGCTGCTGGGTTGATAATGACGAATGAAATCGTATTACCTTTGTCAATATCTTCTCCATTATCGAGCACTGAACAGTTCACTTTCAGTAGTGTTCTGATTAGAACAAAAACAAATAAAGTTTTATCTGTGAATATATCATAGGGAAATTAGTATCAGAAGTTAGTACTGTACTTCTATGAGTTGATAAAAACACAAAATTGATAGATCTGTAGGCTTTCGGAAATCATTGTTTAGACCAAATATGCGTTCAGTCGACTCCAAAATGCTTAGTAGAGTCGAGTTGAATACATGATTAATCCTAAGGAGTGAGTCGGCGCGGAGTGCTTTATTCTTTTATCATTTATATCAAGAAATGAGACATTTTCTAGAACTGCTGAGCATTTTCGGTGCTACGTTCTGAGGTGGTAGTCACTTTGGATCTTATAGGAAATGCGTCTTTTTATTGTAAAGATTCTTTTAAAATTCTCGATAGTCGCTTGTTCTCTTTCTGATGCACTAATTCGCTTTGGCTAAGTTGTTTCGCTTTAGCGTAAATTCCTGTACATTTTCTCGGAGAACCTTTATTGCCGTCGTTAAATATATGGGCAAGTACTTTGCGATAGGAACAAAACATACACTCCTCATCCAAGGATATTCCCATATCTCTCATTCGCGATTTAACATGATTGTACATGTCCTTCCTTCGTTCCCTCGATATTTCTGCGATGTCCATTGTTCGATATTTTTCTTCCATTTCATGTGAGACCTTTCATAAGACAAATGGTGTTATAATTGGATGGTAAACATCATCAATTATGCATGCTTATTTCCTTCATTTACTCACTGTTTTTGAGTCCATACATTTTGTCCTGAAAATACCAATGGGTATATCTGCAACTGATGAGCAGAGTTTCTGATACAGTCGTCCGTATGTCTGTATCCATAGATCGTCGGACGTCAGCGTAATCTAAACCGTTTGCAGGATACCAGTGGACACAAAATGAGTAATGACAAAGAGTCTAGAATATAAATACCGAAGTGAGATAGCCACTACCAGCCGTCTGGTCAATTCCTAACAAAAGTCTCGTTAGTGTCACTACATAGGGCTTGATGATCGCCTAAACTCTAAGAAGTAGTTTCATTACAATTAAAAGAAGACGCGTTTCTCACTAAGAATACCTGATAAAGCAATCTATCCAACATATTAGCGCTGAATACTCCGCCTTGTGCGAAAGGAATGCGGAACATGAAAGGCATATGTGAGCCTCGCTTTCGTTCCTTCTGCAGTTAAATGTTGTTCAAGTTATCATGAAATTATGTCTTTATAGTAAAATTGCTTTAAAAGTAAGGAAACTTTGGAGACCCTATGCTTGTAAATTAATGCATCGCTAAATTCAGAGTTCAGTACATGTAAAAATAAAATAAATCAATTAGAACTTGCATGGCACATCGGCAGAGAAAGGTAAATAGTTGTTTGGGAACCATTTTGGTTAATTTTATGTAAGGTAGCATTTAGTTGTTAGTGGCATCCACGATATGCATTCGTCATTGCTTGTTCTGAGGTTTGATTATGCGGCTTTCATTAATTGCATTTGTATGTTATGTCTTCCTCAGTGCCATCAGTGCTATCCTACATTTGAGGCTTAACTAGATTCAATGCCGATTTGTGCTCTCCAGATCATTCTCGTTGATGCGTGATTGGCGATCGCACCGTTAGAGTTAAAACATGGCTGAAAGGAAAGCAAAAGTGACGGCCTCGTTTAGTGTGGTGGATAGCACGTGGACGTGGAGCACGTGGATTTCACTAAGCATCCTTTGGAGGTGATTGAATGCATATCTGGCATTTACAATGACTCGCGGTGGCCTACCGATGTATGGAGCCAGTGCTGCTATCTTCCCAGACAAGGCTGCCACTTATTTTCCGACACCAGAGTAATGGAATGCTTGGTGGGCCACGGACGCAGGGTTCAATTCCACGTGTGTGTCGCAGTGGCGCCTCCAACCACTGCTCCGTACGCACCCATACTCCCACGCGAAACCAACATAGTACTGTGTAATCGGGAGAATTTTTTGGCCCCATATGCTATCAGTATTTTAAAGCCTTTGCGCAACGTACTTCCAAGTTTGAATTCGTGGAAGTAAATTTGTCGAAATTTCTGTTTTGGCGTTTTAGATTCTAATGTTTAAAGTTTGCCAAGAACACTTTACATTATAACTTCAATGAAGCTGAAATATTTGCAAAACTCCGGACCGCAGGTGTATGTGGTGGGGAACGAACGCGCTATTATCCTTTCCGGGGAGTAACGCGTTCACCACCACACCATGCGGGTCCTTCTTTTTGCCTGTCTCTCAGCTAGTTCTATTGATCTTTTAGCTGAGAGTCAAACAAAACGAAGGACCCGGATGGTGTGGTGGTGAGGCGCGCTACTCCCCGGTAAGGACAACAGAGCGTGTTCGTTCCCCACCGCATACATCTGCGGTCCGGAGTTTTGCAAATATTTCAGCATCATTGAAGTTATATTTCACAATGTATATCCTGCCGTTAGAAAGAATAGGCAGTAAATAATACGTTAAACTTTGCATTATATTTTGACTGTTCAGAGCTAAATTAAGGAAACGGGTTTTGAAATGATATAGAATATACATTGTGAAATATAGAATAGTACGGCATTAAAAAAAAATGAAAAGAACCGTTGTTAAAATATTTAGAAGAAAATAACCTTACAAATCAAACATTAATTCACTAACAACCTAGTGATTCTTCCGGAGAGCACAAACCACTAAGCAGCTGTAGTACAAGATGAGAACGAATCAATATTTTGCTAATACCCGTTTAAGGGTACTCAGTGATTAACGAGAATGCCGGTGATAATGGTGATATTGAGTCACTCGAAAGTTCTATGGGGTTTTTTTTTTACATATACTAAAATTTCAGTTATATACTAGAAGTACAGAAGTTGTTAACTTCGCTTGCGTAATAATTACCAACTTCACCTCATTTGTGCTTTAACCATTATCTCCGTCTTCTGCTACTATAAATACCAACACATTTGCCGATTACTTTATATTATCACTAAAGATCTACTCCGAACTCGCATGAAAATCACGGCAGTAAATGAAAGGCGAAGGGTATCTAATAAGGCGGTCTGGTGGTTGTTTGTCAAGTTCCAACTTGACGACTTAAATCTTCAAGAACGTGCAGTAACTATAGGATATTTATATTGTTGGGAACACTGTTAAGCTATCAAATTTCTCTGCTTATACGTACCTATATAGGAAAAGTGTGTACTAGTTTTAGTAATTTCATGTTAATTTTTCTTATTTCTTCTACGATCGAACCTTTAAGGTAGCGTCAATCAGTGCACTTCATGTTTTCGCTGGTCAGTGGTCGGTCATATCAGAAATATCGGCCTGTTTACAAATTCATTGCTATCTCACCTTCTCAAATCTCGACTGTGCCAATGAATATGGACTGTTGGCGTTGAACTGCACGAAGCGCATATTACTTGCATGTGTGAGTTCTGTGATCATACGGAGTCGAGGAAACATTCTAAACAACGAAAGAGAATGAATTCCATTAGCCTTTTGACTTCTGCTTCCCTCTCTGTATGATTTTTTTTTTGGTGATTTACTACGACAGTACTACTCAGTAGTATTATCGGATTTGCGACAACTCCTGGTTTCTCGTGGCCGACGCGTAGGACGACGCTTCCAGCTGTTATGGAATTGCTGGTATTTTGAGAAACGGTATTTCTCCAGTATCATATATTACTATGGTCCATCATATTATAGCCTACGTTGAGTCTGTTTTCATATTTTTCATATCGGCCCTATCTGTAAGGTAACTGTGATTCACAATGATGAAAGAATAATCAATCGCGAACCAAATTACTGGTCAGTAAACTTGTTCGAGAGGAATTTTTTTTATTCCACGCCCGCTACAACATTCGAGTTTGACAACTGGTGATTAATTCCAAGGAGAATGTAGTAAAAAGGTTCCTTATGCCAAAATAAGCCATGGAAAACAAAATGACCTCCATAGAGCTCATACTGGCCACAATAATTCCAAATGCAAACGACTCCTGCAGAGGTCACGTTGTCCTAAATGATTTATGAATCATGCTGAATAAGAGACTTATAGCTGTGGAAATGTGTGGTTTTGCTGACGTCGTCATAGTTGACATGGTTTATCCTCATGGACTTGTCGTTGGGATATGGAGAAGGCTGTTTGTCAATGATTTCGGAAAGCATCAGTTTACCTTCCGGAGGTGAGATTTTGGATTTTCATTTTTGTTGCCAGTTGTTTATCTTAATATTAGCTTACCGATGAATTTTTTGTACAGTAATTATGGTATTGCAGTCAGCAAAATGTTCTTCGCCAAGCGATGCTGTTTCTTTGACGACAACGACGTGCTCAGCTCTACTAACGCCAGCACGTAAGAGGTTGTCCAAACTAAAAACGACGTCATTTTACTAAATACACAAATTTGAAAAACGTAGAAATTGAGACTGACACATAACACCTTAATAAATCTTCTTTAAAGTTTTATGGAGCAGTATGGCGAAATAAGATCATCGTATTCATTTTCCAAATCGGGAATGTCTATGTTTTTGTGAAAAGTGTCCTTATCAAAGTCAAAGAATTCTTATATTTGTTACAATGAAAACCCACACTGAAATCTTCCCCTGCATCCAGAATATTCCTGGAAAATAAGAGATTGCATCAAGAAAAGCAGAATTAGGATTCGCTGTTTCTTCTAATTCCAGCAGTAGAACAATTGGATGGAGTTCATGTATTGGGCGGTAGTAGGCTCTTCAACGAAGCTTTTTAATTTGGATTCGTTTTCTTCTGCACATCTTAATTAATGGAACTGGAATCTTGCCAAAGACCTACTGCATAAATATTTATAACAAAAAACTTGAGAAGCGACATTGTTGATTACCTCAATGGAATGATGAGGTTATACATTCCACTGCTAGTTTTATCCGCTGCAAGTATTATCGGATTGTTCGTCCAGTTGTATTCGTGCGCTGACGTATAAGAACAATGTTGACATGCCTAGAACTCGCCATGTTGCTTATACTCTTGATAAGTTTATTGCAGTAAATAACTAAATGCCTTTTGCTGTATGTGACGTTGCTTCAACATCTATGGGCGTTCAACAGATTTTACAGATCTCTATATCGTCGAATTTCCAAATTTTTGAGTTTAAAGTACCTTGTCCAGTTGCAAACAGCATATAGGTCGTTTCTCTCTCAACATGTGACATACAGTATTTGACGTACCGATGTATGTGCGAACTTGCGGATACGCACGCAATATTCTGAAACAACAAAGCAGGAGCATGTTTAGGCGCGGGACATCGATGGCAAGTAGGAGACAAAATTGAGAGGAGAAACTTTGTCGGCGAGAAATTCATGCCTTGTTTTTGAAGATTAAGTTTTTTTTATTGAAACACCTGTTGGCTGGCTTTCGGATGTGTTTTATAACAGAACATTCCCGGTTTCCCAAAAAGGGTTGAAAAGGAAGTAGTTCTTTGGAAGAGAGTTACAGAAAACAAGGCAAATCTACATAACGTTCGAGTAATAATTTATCAGGAGTGCCTACAGGCCCAAGAAGAGCAAAGCTATAGTCAAAAATTTGTTGCCAGTTGTGCAAAATCATCGTTTACGATTTCGCATTCTTTCCATGGTCCTCGTATTCCCAACTATTGATAAGAGAAACTGGAGGGGTAAGTGACCCTTTTCTATGGTTGATTACGAGTTGTGATTTCGGTTAGAAAAGTAACTTGTTGCGACTATATGCAAAATGACAGAGGCACTCGACTTTCACCATTCCATCATATTGTACTATTTAAGGGCGCTCCGCTACCGCAAAGTGATGAGCCAGTGGATTCTACAGCAGTCACAACAGGGCCTCCCTAGGTATCCATCTTCTAGACTATGCTGTTTACAACTCACATAAGAGAATCTCTGAAAGATCTCATGAGGTGGAAGGATGGTTGGTTGCCTTGAAACATCGACGAGCACTGCGTTTTATATATTCCACGAATACGACTATGAATATGACATATGAATATGACACGACTTTAGCAAGAATTATACCAAATTCCCGCTAGATCTTTCGCGCTCTTCCATATTGCTGATAGTACATGCATGCTGTACTGACAGTTAATGTTGTACCCTAAGCCTGTCGACGCGAACGTTTGTGCAAATCAGGATTCTTAGTTAAGTGCAGTTGTGAGAAAAAAGTAGCTGGTACAAGCTCAAGACTATCTCCGCTGCAATATTGCTGGACGGTACATGTTTCAGTTCGTTAGCAGTATCGGAGCCCCAATGGGGAGTAGTTTCGCACATCGCGTATAGTTGGGTACTTGTACCATCTGGTTTCTGTGTATTATGAGATTCGATGAATTTTTTATGCGATTTTTGACGACCTTATTCAGGATTTTAGTAGTTAAGGTCTTATTCAACTAAATTTGAAAAGTAGTGAAAAAGAAGAAACGTAAAACTGTTGCATTAACTTCATGATGACACAAGGATGCCGTGCTTTTCCGCTTGAAATACGATTCAAAAATAATGTAACTTCAATATTGCTGAGTTATTTGCAAAACTCCGGACCGCAGATGTATGCCTGCATGGTGTGGTGGTGAACGCGTTACTACCCGGAAAGGGCAATAGCGCGTTCGTTCCCCAGTGCATACACCTGCGGTCCGGAGTTTTGCAAATATCTCAGCATCATTAAAGTTATATTTCGCAATATATCTTGCCTTTAAAAAGAGTAAGCGGAAAATAATAAGTTAAAATTGAAAACTAATATTTCTCTTCCGTACTTTTTTTGAATGCATACACCTCGACATTTAGCACACCCTTCTTCGTGGTCCGAATCTGTGGAGCTTTCTTCCGGTTTCTGAAATGAAACCTAGACATTTACATGGGTGGAATAGCCGTTCTTTAATGTAGACAGCTGTTTAGAAATCTGTGTACGAACTCGAAGCATTTCAGTTTTCGTTGTCTATTGTTTGATTTTTTAAGTGTACTACTAGTATTGGGGGATTGCAAAAATTTCTTTCCATTTGTCATAGTTTTCTTCCGTGGTGTTTTTCTATAGAAGCATTATGCTCTATGTTACACATAGTACCTCCATAACCATCGCGATTGAAGGTCGGTGTAAGCTATCCGTAGGAACATCAATCAGTCTGACTTCTTCCGCTCCCTAAATGAATTTCCACTCATTTTCCGTTCTCTTACTCTGTAAAGACAGGATAGGGATGTATTAAGTAGAGAATAGGAACCTTCGGAAAAACGCATACATTATCCGACTTACTTACTTACTTACTTATTGTGGAATCTTACCTTTGACTTCTGTAGAAGTCCTTTTCTCCTGTACTTCGATAATTTTTTCACGCTTTCTTCTAGATCAGGAACATCAATCGCCACCGCACCTGGAAGCGATTTGAATTTTAAATTTTCAGGCTCAAATTTATGTTCTTGAATCTATAAAGAAAGATCGTATGGCATACTTCGTGTGAAAATTTCCATCATGAAAGCAGCTGTTCAAAAAATGCTCGATCAAACCCAATTTTTGTCTTTTTTCCGTTTTGTAACCTTTTTTTAAAATAGTCTAATAAAATATCAGAATTTACAGAACACGTTATAAGAACATCTTTTTAATAGATTTTTTAGTGGCATGTTTGCTGTGGTTAATATGTAAAAAGGTGTTGATCAATCGTTGAACGTTGCGCCTTGCATTCGACTTCATCAAGTATCGTAGAAGTAACTGAATGCATATCAGGCCGAATGCACAATCGCTTACTGGTTCTAAGGATCTATTAAAAGAGTGTTCTTCGTGCTTTAATCCTCTCAGAAATGTCTCTCACCAATTTGGTGATCCCGGAGGGATGGACGGCTTGCTTACTCGGGATGCGGCATGGAGCCAAGGACCCACTGTGTGTATTTGCAGGGCACTTCTACCCAGCATGCTGCACACGCTCCTATGTCAGTATGAAGTGTTCGATTTCCCAATGTTAAAATTCCAGGCATTCTTCTTTCTTGGCTAATATAGATTTCCAATTGTGGACGATCTCATTCGTACACCTTCTTTTGTCAACAAATGAATTATTCATCGTTGTTTGAACAAGTTCGAATCTGTAAATGTAAGCCTCAAAATTAACGGTTGCCTACCAACGTCATTCCGTCCACCATAGTTGACCAAGGCATGAGCACGTCCTACGTATAAGCACTGCAGACTGCCATATTCTTTATACAGCGATGACACACCTTTCCCACGGACAACTCACCACTTCAATGGGTAAAGGAATACAAGATTCAGACACAGTATGTCAAAACTCTTCATCACTACCCAGCTATAGTGTATGTAGTCACTTTTACGGGGTGAAAAACGGAGATTTGTTAGTGGGCGGTTCTTCCATTGTCATCTTCATTTTTTCGGACGGTATCCCAAAAGTAAATACGGTGCCAACCAAGATTATTGGAACAATGAAAAAGATTGAATTATAAATCAATCAGAACAAAAACACAACGTTGAAATTCTTAGATGAAAAGGAGCAAACGTTTTGGATCTATTCTCGGCTAACGACAGCAAAACCTGTATTAACATAGAACATTCAATGAATATGACTGACTGGTGGGAAAAAAGAACAGTGAAAGACAGTGGGCAAGACGTGCTGCGCTCCTGTTTTCGGCAAAGGTCAGTCTTTTTTTTAAAGCACTAGTTCTTTCAGCTCTTCTAAACAGTAGGGACAGGCAAACACGGCTCAGTTCAGCCACATCGAAAAACTTGCGTGCATTACATGGGACAGGGCCACACTTACACGTTAAACTACTTAGATATTTACGGCAAAAGTCAACTGTCAGATCCTCAAACCGTGAATGAAGCGAAATGTAGATGCAACCACTTCCGTTGATATTTGTTGAAGGATAACAATTACACGAATCGAAGACGTACTTGGACTCTCACAATATGTTAAAACGACTCGTCTAACTAACCAAGTAAGCTTTTGACACATGGGCGAGACTGTAATTGATTACAGTGGTTCCTATTTCACCTTATAAAGTTGAATTGAAAAATGAAATGTAGGACTTTAAGATTTCCTTCTGATGTCGGAATTTCCCACTGAAAATTCTTTATTGAATAGAGCAATTAGACTACTCCGACAAGGTCTGAAACTTGGCTCAATTCTAGTCAGTACTTCGCTGAATTTATTTGTAGTTTCACTTTTTCATCTTGCCGATTTTCTTTATTACCAATCAACGATTCGCCTATGTGGGCTTTAATATCTCTACCCGAGCAAAGGACATCCAGTTACTTTTCCAAACATTGGTCTGAGAAAGTTTTAATGCTTCGAGTTGGAGTTACGTTGAATCTTAATCATAATCATTAAGTAGTGAGCTTGAGGAGCTAGAAAAAGCAAAAATGTTTAATTTTCTAGCAAATGTGTAGGTTGGAAATTTTTGTATATGTCGGATCACTAACCGATGTTCGCAATAGTTGAGGCCAGATTAGCTTTCCTTTGTTGATCCCTTATATCTTTTCGAAAGTCGTACAGTGATTCTTCATTTGTTAAACCCATATAGTAAAGAATGTCGCTAGAATGGATGATTTGTGCTTTTCCAGGATTGAGGAGTGTTTTAGCGTTTTCTTCGTCTGATTTCACGCCAATCAAACCAACACCATAGCTGAAAGTTGGCACACTGCAGTAGGATAGAAAGCTGGCAAGCCATTAAATAACTCTGTCTACAGAGGCGAAAGCCTTAAAATTTAAGTTGAACCAAGGAAATAGGTTAAAAGTTTTAAATATGCTGCGCTGTTCAACTATCATTGCTATTTCGCAGACTATCAAAACATCCACTTTTTCAAATGATCATTAATTCACTAAGCTAATCTTCTCAGTCTTGCCGACTAATAGTAAACGGTTAGCGTTGAAGTTCGTAATTTTTGAAAATTAACGACTATAATGGGCAGCAGAAAAATCAAATATTGCTCTCTTTGTGTTATTTTTTCTCACTGTGTTGACAATATGATAATGCTCAACGAGTCCCTAGAGCTAGCAGAACCCGCGGAGCTACTCTTTCACGCGGCAGGGAAAAATGGAAGATTTACTGGCGCCCGCTCAAGTCACTCGACGACTAACGGGACTACAGGTGATACAGGTAATACAAGTATTGACAATGTGACGAAAAATCTTATCTTACTTTTTATGAGCGTGAAAAGAGGCGTAAGTGAAGGATTTGCCAATGAAGTTTCCAAAAAACTTGGAATCCTCGGCCTTTATCATGTAGATCTCGTTTCCAGAATGAAATCCATACACTTTGTGCCATGGTTCACTCGATTTTTTTCCTTCTCTGGAGCTTTAATTTTGGAAAACTACACTGATGGGTTTTTTACGATGTGGTGAACAACTTACTCTCCTCTCGACGTATGCATTAACAATGTAATAAATGTAGATATTCCAGGACAAATGCAATTGTTTGCTAGCAGCGAGTATTTAAATTCATCTTCGCAAATAAGAACCTCTAAAGAAAACTATGCATAAACACTTTTCATTGTTGCTAAAAGGAAACCATACCAGCGTGCTCTATGTGCATTTTTGTTTCTGGCCTGAAAATCTGCACATACTGCTTAACATGAGGTGCGAAATCCTTAACTGCCCATGAGCGAAGAATTGTATATTCATCCTAAGGGTGACATTATTAATCCTTAACCTGACTCAATAACTCTAAGTTTCCACTTGCCGTTATAATCTTTTTATTTTGATGACGAGCCGAAAGAACGAAGCAAGCTTGTGCAGAACCAAGGCGGGCCCTGGAATAAGTGGATTAGCTTTCGGAGAAAACAATCGCTTTGAAAAAACATCGGCATCAGCTGCTAAGTGATCACATGCTATACATATTTGCCCATCGTTTTTATTTTACAGGAAACTACCGGCTGTTACTTTGCTGTGAACCTGATATTTCTTGTTGTCGAAATGCAATATTCACCGGAAATTCATGCCTCACTCAAGATGGGTAGGTTGAGTTTTCCGTCTGGAAACCCGGATAACTGTAAACCTATGCAAAGGATCGCCACCATCCAAGAATCCAACTCATCGCAAAGCTGTACATTTCTTTCCGATGAAGAATTGTCTGCGATTATCAACGAGAATCCTCAACTTCTGTCAACATCTCTCAACTGTTTACCGCCTCATCGTGGCTGGAAAGTGTTCCTTGGTGTCAGAATGCAATGTAAAGCGTGGAGATTCATCTCCACGGCAGGGTCGCTCAAGCTGAGAAGGAGTCTGGCGTTTCCAGCAGGAAGCCTAGTTAGAGCAAACCAATAGCAGGATCGTCCATTGTCCTGTCGCATGGCATCAAACTAGTCGCATGATGGCAAATCTCCCACCGATCCACAAGGGCTGCGACTGTGGTGGTGACGACCTGGGCAAACTTTGGCCAGGCTGTCTTTGGGACTCCAGGGAACCACAGTGGCTAGACCAACAAAACTCTGAAAAGACGGAAATTATGCTGGGGTTCGCACAAGCACTGAAGACAGGCGATCCAAGTATCCAGGTAAGTAACAATAAGAATTAACAGGGAGAGCTGTTTCAAAATTTAATGGAAGATACCCACTCGAATAATGAAAACTATTTGCAGAATTCTGCAAATTATACTTTTCTTTGTACAGTATGGGAGGTTCGGACATCCACAGAGAAGGTGAGCAAAGCTCGTATTGCGACATGCATCGTTAGAACCAGACCACAACAAAAATAGCATGCAGGGTATTTCCGGTTATATAACTATAATTGAGAGCACTCTTTTCAGATACACTTCTTCGCGTTCATAGTATGCACGTCACATCGAATTACATTATGCCGTTAAATTGATAATCACCCATATAATTATGGAACCCTTGTCATCCGGGGACGAAGATCTGTTACAAAATCTCTGTGCCGGCGACTTTCTCATACATCCATGTCCACTACTTTGATTAACACAACATAATTTGATTTTGCTTGTAGCAGAAAACCATAATGGGTGACCATAATGAGAAGACGTCAAGAAGTATTATCATCTGCTGTTCACCAATAATTCGGCCAATCAAGACGAGCTATTATCTTTTTGTAATCATTTCAGGAGATATTATATGCTTTAGGGACAAGGGTAAAAACGTTATATACAGAAACGCTCACCGCAAGTTTTTCGCTTAGAACTTCCATACCAAAGCAAAGAAAGGCAGTAAAGTAGAATGGACGACAATAAACGTCAGAATATTAGGCCAATAAGGGAGTGGAAACTATGGCTGAGTGGGATTCTATCAGTAGTATCCATATTCTATGGAAGTTTACTTTTTTGCAAGGAATTCTAATGGAAGCCGTTTTATGTGAAAATCGTCAAATAATGCACACCGCATTCATGGAGATCAACTGCAACTTTACACACGAAAGGTGGTTGTTCGTTGACATTCTCATACTATGATCTTCCTTAGATAAGACCAATTATCCCCACCCCACTGACAAGATTCGCACCGGATACAAACTGAGGAAGAACTTCTCAAAAAAAATTGAGAAAAAAAATAAAAATTAGAACAGAAATAACCTTTTGCGAGAACATCATGGACGAAACTTTATGCCAAAGTTTTTGATGAGTCACAATTAGTTTGTCAAAACTCTGACAGGAGTCTTTCTGTCACGATTACGACTAAATCGTAGCCAGTGTTATTTGTGTCTCCTGCGAGTGTTTCTTGGCCGTAACCTTCATTCGAGGCGAAAAAAAACATCGAGAAAGTCGAAACAAACGCTCGTCATTATGTCAGTGCTTATTGGCCAAGATATCTTTCGGGCATAAGGACTCCATCCCAGTGCGGTTTCATTTGCAACAATCATGCAGCACTTTCATCGTATTTTTGTTTTCTTGACAAAAAAAGAATTCCGATAAGTGGCACCACCTCTCTGAAGCGCTTTCCTCATTGAACTTAAGGCAGCGGGAAGGTGATAGAACTGTGGCTAAATCGGAAGAAGAAGTATGCCATGCAAAAGCATATTGATCACGGAATCCAGAAATCCTGTCTACCCCGCTGGGAATTCAACAAATATGATAGACGACTCGGATAAGGAAATATACGCAGGGCTCAGAATAGCAGCACCTGCCTGTCAAAGAAGCCACTGAATAATTTCAAAGCTTCGTGCTCTTTTGCGCATTATCACATGGCTTTTTTTTCCAAAACTTCTGCTACACGCCCTAGATTTGATTTAATATAGCGGAATTTGAACCAGAATTAATGCAGAGGTAACCTGCATATGAAATAAAACAATTGCCACGGTAAGTGGACTAGAGATTCAATGGATTAATAGGTGCGAAGATGTAAGTGCCATTCAGCGATGTCTCCTATAATAAGGACAGGCATGTTTGCAACTCCCATCGACCAACTATACTCCCGTAAATATAAGTTGAGCTTTATGGAGAGCCACTCATAAATGTCGCTACGCATCAAACAAACCACTATATCGGAGTGATGCATGGGCGCGAGTGAACAAAATGGTCGAAATTGAGATGAGGTTCGTATGATTAGTGCATGGTGGTTATCCAAGTATCTATAATTAGTTTCTATGATTGCCCGTGAATTCCTATTTTCATAAGGTTTGTTTTACGCTCTCTAGTCTTCGAGCTTTTAAGGACTAACGAAATAGAGACAATGCTGAACAGGAAAATGAAATCTGTTGGAATAGTGGCCAGTAGGCGAAGCTTAGTAATGCATGTCGCTAGATGTGCATTACTTGCTTCACAAGTGATATCACCTTAGAATAGCCACCTAGCAGGTTTTTCAAAACTTTGATGTCATAGAGGAATCAATTTGGAAACCTTTCAAGGTCTTCATCACGGAGCGCGCTGCCTCTTATGTAGTGTACGCGCTCATGATACAATGGAATTTTCAGCAGTAGACGAGTTTGGTTGTCAAGTTCTGCGGATGATAACAGTATCACTTGCATATGCTAAAATATAAAAAATCAGTGAGAAAATTGGGCAGTAGTCAACAAGCAACAGAAAGCCTTTGACCCGTTCACTTGCCAGTGCTTTGTTTTCACTCGCCTTATTTTCAGCATGTGCATAGAATTCGTCCAGAAAATCTCTGATAAATTCCACATCTAGATGTGTGATTGTTACCACCACGTGCTTTTCATTTTTCGACCACCCACCGCCATAGTCACCGCCGGACTTCTGTCTTTCAACCCATGTTTGTCCTAAGGCTTCAATCTAAATGAAGGACTACTAAGTAAAATGAGGCTGGAACGTTCCAGTATCATTTCTGAGCAATTTAGTCACTACCTGTGACGGAAGGAGAACTAATGCTACACATATCAGTAGTACGACGCAAAGCCTTGACATCCATGTATCCGGATACCTGTAAGCACTCCAGAAACAAGTGTAAAGCAGTGTGTTATAATAAATAAAAACACTTTAAGCATTTAGACTGCTGCCTAATCTACACATAACTTACTCCTCACTTTGTCAACCCTAACTTTAACAGAAATTTTGTATTCCTGTTTAGGAAAATACCTGTATAATTTAGAATTCCTTGATCTTACCATGCTATGGTTGCTTGAATACATCATGCATTATGTTCGTGTAATCGATTCTACTTCAGTAAAATCGACATCTCACCAATCACCGTATCCAACTGTGGAAAAAGTGACCATAACAAAGTAGAAACTTGTGAAAAGGTCGAACTGACGATCACCAGCTCTTTGTAGATGCTCGATACTACACATGCCTTCAATTTTTCAATTAATAGATGTAATAAAATTTCACCAAGCATTGTAGTGGTGATTAAATGCACAATTGATCGGCCTATATATCAGATTAGTGTTTTTGTTCTCCCAAACAAGTTTGTACTAGTACACCAACTCCGAATTGATGTAGAGCTCAGTTTACCCAGGGTTCCCATCGAACTAACGACTCTGTTTGTATTGCAGTGCAGCATGTCTAACTACCGTGTTGCACGCTGCCCTCATAATAAATAGTCTTGAAGATAGGCGTTGAAAACATTGAAAGCTTCTCACCAGTGAATATCAAACAAAGCATGATGGAGAACAGTAGCAGTAACTGTCTAAATAGAGCCGATTGATTCATAAACGAGCCCCGATTGAGATCGTTCTGAAATTAATAGGCCATTGGGTGCATCTTAATGTGAACGTCGCAATACACGCTAACCATCATTGCTTGGAGGGAACCTTTTGCGAGCCAACAATTCAGAAACACTGGCACATACAAACGGCGAAGATTAGGTTGGAAGATCTGAAATGTGGAATACTAACGGCACTGCTATTTTAGGCGTTTTCTCATCTGCTAATGAAGGAAAATATGACAACGCTTACAGTGATTGCGAAAGGGAAACTGGTGACCATTTCAAGAAGGAAGTGAACATTGACTAGCAGGCGAAATAAGTTTCCCTGTAATTTCAGATGAAAACCTGCAAAAATATATCCAAACCTACAAAACTTGCCTGATAACTTATGTAGAAAATTATTATCGTTTCGAATATGCTAATGAAAGCGACAATCGTCTGAGCTAACCACATATAATCGTTTCGGTCTACCCAGAAGAGGTACTCACTGAAACTGTCTCATTCATTGCCTACTCTTCATCACTCAGGTAGCAATCATGTCACCTACGTCTTCTCATCAGTAAGAAAACTTTTCAAAACGGTACAAAGATCGATATGTATGTCCACAATCTCCTGTGCATAGTTATTAAACCTTTTTTACTTATATTCGTTAGACAAAAAAAAACTTGCTTCCTTCCTATCTTTCTGTTGTGCTTCTTCGGTTCATCTACAAACTAGATTTCAAATACTGTTTTCAAAGAACCTTAGCGTCAGCAGCGCTTCTGAGTTTTCCAAATCAACCATTTTACTTCGTTTTATAGATAAACGTGGAAATTCACTGCCCTTAGAAGAAAAAGAAGAAAAAGTAAACTACTTTTGCTGGTCTGGTTGAGGATGAAGAGTTGAAGAAGTTCATCGTATACTGAGTGCTATTTTCATTGACTTAAAACTGATAGACTGATTTCGAACTCAACGCACTACTTAATTTCTCCTTCATCATATTGCACTGATCTTATAAAGGACGGCAGTTTCTTTGAATCATTGACAACTCTTACACAGTACAGGACGCACGAGAGTAATTTGATGAACACATTGAATAGTCGAATCCGTAGACCTAAAATAATGTGAAAAATAATCAATGGATCATCTATAGTAGTTCCTAGCTACTAAGTGCACATTGTTCAGCGCATAATCGGCCAAGTGCATTGATTTCAATACGTACAGCGCTAAAATAGTGGAACTATTCAGCCTTAAGTCGACGATTATTTCGGGATAAAATTAGCGTCTTTCTTTGTGTGCTTGCAGCCAAAAGAATATCGTCAATGAATGGGTACCAGAGTTCTCAAATTCATCACATCGCAAAACTGTTTTAAGTCAGTTACTGGAGCGAAATTTCAGTCGTATACCCAGACGCGAAACCTCAATGAGGAAGGAATAGCGAAGTCACACTTACGTAATGCCTTATTTCTTACTACGTAAAGCCACAGAACTAAAATAAATTTTAAAATGTATTAATTTTTATAAAGTGTAGAAAACTCTCGTTTGTGATTTCGACTGCAACTTCGGTTTAACAGAGTTTAATGCCAATTTGCGCTTCTCTGATCATTTCCACCGACGGGTAATTGCTGATAGCACCGTTAAGCTAAAAAGCTGACTAATGGAAAGGCTAAACAAGGGCCTCAGTGCTGCAGTGGGTAGCACATGAGTCTCCGGGAAGGGAAATTGCTGGTTCGAATCTGTCTCGATGTCTGAGTTTTCTCAGCATCCTTGTGCTTATGTTTTAAAAGTTAAATAGAAAACATTGAATGTCAATAATGCCATTAAAAAATTTCCACTTTTTTTCCAAATCGCCTTACGGCGTTAGTTGAAGCAAAAAATAGAAGTATTGCAAGGATAATAGTGCGTTTATTCAAATGAGATGTACCAGTGGAATGAGGTGCCACATCTAAGAGCATGTTTTTCAGGAGGATGCGTGTGGTGTAGCAGTTAGAGATCCTTGCAACACATATAATAGTCGTTGAATCGATCCGATGCACAAGTCTAAGCAAGCTTTCATCCGTTTCAGGCATCAAAGTGGTAGCAGAGTTGTCTGTGAGTACTGCAGCATTGACTTAATTTATCAATGATTCTCCACAAGTCAGTGTATACACTAGACTTGCAATCGGTAACGTTTATGATGCTCGATGAAGTCGAATGCATGGTGAATCCCTGAGGAAGTGATCACTGCTAAATGCTGTAGCCTTATCCCTTATAGTGTCCACATCACACTTCATCGTGGCTCTGAAGCCCCTCCTTTGCCACGATCGGGCAATTACTAATATGCTTGTTTACGCTGAACTAAACATTGAATTTCCCAACTAATAGCCACTGTGAGTCTGTGAAACGGAAGTCCACACTTAGCGACGCAAAATGCTCCTGAGAGCGATACGAAGGCGACATATTTCATTTATTAACAACCAACTTTATTCTTACCTTAATTCATTTCTTCATTTGACTGCACTGATTCAGATATACTAGAAAGTCTATATAATATAGTAGTAAGTATAAGCACAATGGTGCTGAGATATTTGCATTAAACTGCGAACCCCAGGCCGGAATCAAACCCCTCACTATCCTTCCTGGGGGCTCACGGATAACCCATTGCACCACCGGCGCCCTTGATTTACCTTTCTCTCAGCCGGTTTTTCCTTAATGGTGTCATTAGTAATTGCTCGTATCAGTGCATATCCTCGTAAAGAAACGCTGCTAATCTTATGAGATACTAGCCGCTCTCTATGAATTAAAACTATTAAGGTCTTTGCGTAATATTTAGGAAGAAGTTAAGAACTTCTCAATGATTTGAGAAAAAAGAATCGGAAACGGTAGCGGGTGATCTTCGCTTTGCTTTTCTTTCATATGCGAAATACTCTGTTTATTTCTTTTTCTGCGAAAGCCAAATCAGAGTAATTTTCCAGATATTTTCTATACACAGTTATCCATCCGTATTCAAAGAAAAATGAACTAACAGCTTTAGTCTTCTTTCTCTAATGAGTTCTTAATACTGTTCGTTTCTTAATGTAGAAGTAGAATGCTTCCACGTTATGTACATCGCACCAGAAGGACACCATTCACAATTCAGTTCAAGCAGAAATATTTTTCATATAACTTACTGGATTTTTGATTTTCGATAAAATACTGCTGTAGTCTCGACTTGAAGCTTGTTTTGACCCCGTATTGCATGCGAGCTCTAAAAACAGTAGAGCTACCAAGGTAAGATAACAATTTATTTAGTTTTAAAACTTAATGTTGTATTTTCCTAGTTTTGTTCCGTTCTTTTTCCTCGAAAAAGTAATACTGCATTCTGCGAGTCATAGACGTTCTTTGATCATCTCGAGTATTAGGAAGAAGATTTGCTACCATAATCTTCACCGCACATCGTTAAATGAGAATCAAAGTACCAATGATGGTGCAATTCTTTTCAATTCTTTAGTAATTCTTTTAAAGTGATGGAAGAGTGTCGAAAAATATGAAGTGTGATGGTGTTGAAACTCGTTAAACTTTACAATACTCGTCGAAAATCAGGAATAATGAGGAATCGTGGCAGGAGAACAATGAGGACTACGATTATCTGACGTCGTTTCGAGATTGAAGGCCATGACGATGTTGGCAGTGCTTATCGATCCTTGCCTTCCAAACGCTTTCTCGACGTCCTCAGCCAGTGTTCCGAAACTAGCTCATTTAGCCTGACTAGTAGAAAGAACCTTTCGCTCCAGTGGAAGAAATTATAAATTTATGTGCGGAACGAGTCATTATATAACGGGCTACATTCATGGAATAGAGAAGCGAATATTATTTCAATATAAAAACACGCCTAATCACTCCGATGAATGAACACATACCACGAAATTGGCTATTATTAAATTAGAGTCTCTGAATCGATTGCGTAATGAAGGAAATAAAATTATTAAGGGCATGAGGTTCTAAACTGTTAATATTACATGAAAACCTGCTTTTATATTAAGTGTAACTTTTTATCGCATCCATCTATGAAGAACCACATAATAACATATAGAACCTCTGTTCTATGAGGGCGACGACTGCCTGTGTTGGTAACGACTCGAGTCAGACTTTGGCTAGGCTGACCTCCAGACTCAAAGGAACCACAATAGCTGAACCAGCAAAACTCCGAGAAACGGAGATTATGCTTGGCCCCGTACAACTAGTGAGAACGGGCCATCAAAGTATCCAAGCAAGTATGTATGATGAACATGGGCAAGTAGTAGTTCTAGAGATTTTTTGCTTAATTTGTATGTTCAGTTACGAATAAAACAATAGAGAGGATGTCTGCTAAGCTCATACGGTGTTGTTGTGAAAATAATAAATCGGTCGTTAACTATAGTAAATTAGGCCGAAAACACGTCCTAGGTCTCGTTGGGATGCGTTCACTGGATGAATTTCATCAACTAACTTTCTTCCATGTATCGGTAAGTATGCACTAGTGGCAAAACAAGGAAAATATTATAGGATGTGAGACACTACGATGGTATCGCAATTATAAGGTAACCTCAAGCACTGTTGGAAGACAAGACGGCAGCCAAAATTATTTAGAGCATTCTCTCTCTCTTTTGTTATTTCTGTATAAAACAAATCAGCATTCGTTGCTAACTAAAATGCAAAACAAATTATCGCCAGGTTTTAGAGTGAAGGAAAAGAAAGTGATGATTAACAGTCATGCCTATTTGTGGTGTTAAAAATAAGGTGATGAACGCCCATCTCTTGAGGAAATGAGGACTTCCGACATCCTTCTTCTAACACACGTAGATCCCTACTTTTTCAAAATGCTGGGCAGAACTTCTATCCATTTTTATGTACGTGTATAGCAATCTTCTAGCAAGAATCTTGCAATTACAGCAAAAAAGGGCTTAGAAAAAGCAAGGAAGAACAAAATGAGTTTAACATACATGTAGAAAATATAGACTATTCAGCTCACAATATCTAGTAATCTACCATGATATCTAACTCAATAATACTACACAGTGGCGGTGAGGGAGGAGCATCACACCAGTCACTGCATTATAGTGCTATTCTGCATGCTGTCATTAACAACCATCCAATACCAATACACCCGTTTTCAACCAAAAAAAAAGAGATAATCTAGAGTTTAACGGTATCGTAACATGCATGAGAGATCCGTGGTCCGACTCGTTACGAAGTCAAATTCTTCAAAGAGTTCTGTGGAAAGTCCATGATAAATGTGACAAAAGAAGGCGAAAGTCTGCTGTGAACACCTATCCACACTTCAGTAGGGATACAGGCAACATTCAACGACATTCGTGAGAAAAATCGGAAATCCTTAAACAGAAGACGAATCCAGACCGAAATGAGAACACACTCATGGATGGTCGGTAAAAGGCAATGAACTGAATGACAGAAGTGCTGGAATTCGAACAATGTACGAAGACAACTCATATAAGAAATATTTAGTAAAAGACGGAGAACTGCTTTTCTAAACAAAAATCTGCTTTCTAAAACAAGTATTCGGGATCCGCATTGTAATCATAAAACTCGAAGTAGCCCTGGTCAAGGTAAAATTGCATGTTATCACTTAGTGACGGAAATCGAAAATTAATAATTGCCATCTGGATGGCCACTTGCGGTAGAACTACAAGATTTACGTGGTCGCTTTATAAAAAATTGAATAATCGTTTAAGAGTACAAACAGTCATTTTCTTGTTTAGCAATCGCCAGGTTGTTATGCAGATAAATTTGCTTCCTCATTGCAAGTCACGTGAAAAGGGGCTTTGAAGAAGGCGATGTTGCCGAAACGTCAGCTACTGTTGCATTGTGTTTTTGTATGGAAGTAAGTGTATCTGTATGACAACCTCGCGATTACTGAACAGGAAAGCGTCGCATTCATTATCCAATGCCGAGTTTAATAGAAAGTCGGTCCTCAGCACAAGTAGTGTTGTTAATCGCTAACATATTCCATACAGGACCGTTCATTGATGATTAGTCACACAATTACAAGAGTTCAACAAAATCATCAAACTCATAACGAGCTTTTTCTTCTCCAGCTGAATATTTGGAAAGAATTGTTCTTTTTTTTGATGGTCGCAGAACATCCAAAAAACGAGGTTTCTAAGGAACAACATTCTTTTTT